AGGGATCAATATATCAGGAAGATATAGCACCCATCAATATATATGCATCAAATGAAGGAGCACTAAAATTTACAAGAAAACTGTAGCAAATATAAAAACAGACATTGGCAACAACACAACAGTGGTAGGGGACTTAAACATCCCACTATCAATGGACTTATCAACCGGACAGAAAATCCACCAGGAAGCTATAGCCTTAAATGAAGAATTAGATCAGATAGGCCTACTAGACATTTATATAGGATACCACAACCCTCCAAAAATTGACTACATATTCTTCTCAAGTGTACATGGGACATTTTTCACCATAGATCATATGTTGGGTCATAAAACATGTGTCTATAAATTCATGAAGGTTGAAATCATATCAGGAATCTTCCCTGATCAAAATGGTTTTAAACTAGATATCAATACAAAGAGAAAGCAGTAACAAACTCTAATATGTGGAGATTGAGCAGCACAGTACTGAATTACTATTAGGTTAATGAGAAACTCAAAGAAGAAATTGAAAAACACCCAGAGACAAATGAAAACAAATCTCCCAAAATGATATGCAGCAACAACAGTACTAAAAGGAAAGTATATAGCAATACAGGCAAACATCAAGAAACAAAAAATAGCTCAAATAAATAATTTTACAGAACACAACAAGAAACTAGAAAAAAGGAATAAATGAAGCCAAAGGCCAGTAGAATGAAAAAAATAATAAAAATTACACTAGAAATAAATGAAATGGAAGTCCAAAAGATAGTTAAAAAAATCAATGAAATCATTTAAGCTGGTTATTTGATAAATTAAAACAAAAATTAGATAAAATAGTCAAGCCTCTAGCTAGACTCACTAGGAAAATAAATGAGGTAGGGAATAACTCTAATACACAGAATCAAAAAAAAAAAAAAAAACAGAGGAGAAGTTACTACAGACATTTCAGAAATACACAGACTCATAATAGACTACAAATAACAAGTTGAAAAATCTGGAAAAAATGCACAAATTCTTAGAAATTTACAACATTCCAAGACTGAAACAGGAACAGAAAACCTGGGCAACAAAGAATTTGAAACAGTATTTAAGCCTCCAAAAAACAAAAGTCCAGGTCCAGGAGGTTTGTCTATGGGATCTACAAAACCTTCAAAGGGGAACTAACACCTACCCTTCTCAAACCCATCTAAAATCTTGAGAAGGGAATGCTCTCACATTTTATGAGGTCAACAAAACTCTGATCCCAAAATCAGATGCAAACATCACACAAAAAAGAAAACTACAGACCAATAAAACTGATGAACACTGATGCAACTAAATCTTAGCAAACCATTATTAAAAAATACATTTAAAGAGTCATTATGACCATGTGGAATTTATTCCAGGGATACAAGGGTGTTTCAGCATATACATCTCCATCATTATAATTCACCATATCAACAAAAGGAAAGACAAAAATGATCTGACCATATCAACAGATACACAGAAGTTATGGACAAGATTCAGCATTCATTTATGATTACAAACTCTCAGTAATGGTGCGCAGACCTCTCCTGCCACGCCCGCTGCTCCCCTCAGCAGTGTATTTTGTCAGTCTGCCTATTCTGCTCCCCACTCTGGCTCTGGTGAATTCTCTCACCCTCCCGTGCTTCTGACTGTAGCCAGTGCTTGTATAAATAAATATTTTTAAAAGAAATAAATAAAAACTCTCAGTAATATGTGCACAAAAGGCCATGTATACTAAACCCAAAGCTAGCATACATGAGAAGTTGAAAGTTTTCCTTTATCATAGGGTATCTGGAAAGGATGTTCACTCTCACCACTGTTCTTCATTATAATATTGGAAAACCTATCTAGAAAAATTAGCAAGAGAAAGATATAAAAGGAATCCAAATCAGAAAAGAAGTAAAACTATTACTATTTGCAGATAGCATGGTAACATGCATTTTAAAAAAGACTCTAAAGATACCACTAAAAAATTATGAGATAATAAATCAATAAAGTGACAGAGTACAAAATCAATATAAAAATGTGTGTTGTATTTCTACATGCAAATAATGAAATAGAAGAGAAAGAAATAAAACAATCCATTCATAGTAACATTAAAAAGTATTATTTACCTAGGAATAACCCTAACAAAGGAGGTGAAACTCCTATTTAAAGAAAACTGTAACACAAAAGGAAATGGAAAGACGTTCTATGCTCATGGATTGGAAGAATTAGCATTGTTAAAATGACCACCTTACCCAAAGCATAATATAGATTCAATACAAAGTTTCAATGAAATTCCTCAAAGAAACACAGAAAACATTAGTTAAATTTGTACGGAAACAAAATAAGCCCTGAGTAATCAAAGCAAAATTACATAAATGAAGAATGGAGACACGATGTTCAAAGATTTCAATGCTCACAGATTCAGAGAGTAATGAAAATGGTATGGTATTGGAATAAAGTAGACACACAGACCACTACTAATAGAGTGCCCCAAACTAAACACACATTTATTTATTTATTTATTTATTTATTTATTTATTTATTTATTTATTTTCAAAGATGTATTTATTTATGCATACAAGAACTGGGGTACAGGCCAGAGGTGTGGCGGGTGAGAGGACTCACCAGAGACAGAGTGGGGAACAGGCAGAAAGGCTGGGTATCGAACTCGTGCTGCAGAGGCTGCAGATAGTTTCATAGATTGCGTCTTAACCCCTTGTGCCACCAGGGAGGCCCTAAACACACATTTATATGGATATTTTATCACAAACGAGTCAAAAGTATAACATAGAAAGGAAAGTCTCTTCAACTATTAGTACTGGGAAAACTGGACAACTATATGCAGAAAAATGAAACAAGACTGCTCTCTCACACTGTACACAAAAATCAACTGGAAATGCATTAAATATTTGATATAAGACTGCAAATTATAAAATACATGGAAGAAAACATAGGCAAAACACTCCATGACACATTTGCTTTGGTGATGTATTTGGGGACTGGACTGCAACGGCAAGAAGAATAAAAGCAAAATTAAATGAGACTATGGTAAGCTTAAAGCTTCTACACAGGAAAATAAACTACTATTAAAATAAAAATACACATACTGAATGGGAGAAAGTTTTTTTTTTAAGTTTATTTTTTATCTATACAATAGCTGAGGTACAGGCCAGAGGCGTGGGAGGGTAAGAGGATTCACCAGAGACAGAGTGGAGAGCAGAACAGGCAGACAGAAAGCACTGCTGAGGGGAGAAAATATTTACACATCATACATCTGTCAAGGGGCTTATATCCAAGATCTACAAAGAACTCAGACAACTCAACAGAAAGAAAACAAAGAGCCCAATCAAAAAAATGGGTAGAATAGCTATATATACACATTTCTCCAAGTGTATTCATGGCCAACAGGCACATGAAAAAAATGTTAAACATCACTTATCACCCAGGAAATGAAAATTAAAACCACAACAAGAGCCTCCCCTGGTGGCTCAGGGGATTGATCGCAGTTCTGTGAAGCTGTCCGCAGCCTCTGCAGTGCCGGTTTGATCCCAGCTGACCTGGTAAGGGTCCCACATGGTGCAGCAGACCTCTCCTGTCCCGCCTGCTACTCCCCTCAGCAGTGTATTTCATCAGTCTGCCTGTTCTGTTCCCCGCTCTGTCTCTGGTGAATCCTCTCACCCTCCTGCGCATCTGGCCTGTACCCCGATTGTTGTATAAATAAATACATAAATCTTTAAAAATATATATATACCAGCTCACATCATATCAAAAACAAAAGCAGAATCAGAAACAACAAACGTTGATGAGAATGTGGAGAAAAGGGAACCCCTCCCCCTCCGATACTCTCACTATCAACGTAGACAGGTCTAACCCCTGTGGAAATCAGTATGGAGTTTCCTCAAAATATTAAAAGCGTTTATAGGGCCTCCCCTGGTGGCACAGTGGTTGAGAGCTGGGCTGTGAAGCTGCCTGCAGCTTCTGCAGTGCGGGCTCGATCCCCGGCCGCAGGGCGAGGCTCCCACATGGCGCGCAGACCTCTCCTGCCGCCCGCTGCCCCCCTCAGCAGTGTACTTCGATCCCTCTGCCTGTTCTACTCCCTGCTTTCGCTCTGGTGAATTCTCTCACCCTCCCACTCTTCTGACTATACCCAGTGCTTGCATAAATAAATAAATAAATCTTTTTAAAAAATAAAAATAAAAAATAAATAAATAAAAGCGTTTATATAAGATCCCCAAAATCCCACTCCTAGGAATTTACCCAAAGAATGCAAAAATACTAATTTGAAGGGATATAGGCACTCCCATGTTCATTTCAGCACTATTTACAGTAGCCAAGTTATGGAAACTACATAATTTGACAGACAGATGAATGGATAAAGATTTGAGGGGCCTTCCTGGTGGCGCAAGGGGTTAACTTTAAGCATTATCAAACTATCAGCGACTTATGCAGCACCAAGTTTGATCCCTGGTCAGGGAGCTAACCCACATGGCACAGCAGACCTCTCCTGTCTCACCCTGTTTCCCTCAGCAGTGTATTTCAGTCAATTCACCCGTTCTGCTCCCCACTCTGTCTCTGGTGAAGCTTCTCATCCCCCACCTCTGGCCTGTACCCCAGCTCTTGTATGCATAACTGAGTAAAAATAAATATTTAAAAAAATAAAAATTTGATATACACAATGGACTGCTACCAACTATAAAAAAAATTGAAATATTGTCATTCATGATAAGTGATTTAAGTGAAGTCTGAAGAAGAAAGATAAAATCTGGATGATTTCACTCACATGGAATATAGCGGAAAAGAAAAGCAAAGGAACAGACAAAACTAAATCAAAACAAACCCTAGAAATATGGCTGTGGTATTAAGACTTCTAGAGGTGGAGGGAAAGTGAGGAGATAGGGAGGAGGATGAGAACATCACCATGCATAGTCTAGGAATCTGCACATACATACATAGTTTGAACTGAGATCTTGTAGGGGCAGGATGGCCACTGTGCATGCTTTCTGTGATCCGGCTGATAGGTAAAGGAGAGTCCTGGAGCCCTTGGTGGCTTTCTCAGGCTTTTATTGAGCTTTACATGTAGTGTGGCAAACAGGCACACGGCGGGCAAGGGTGCCGGGGGGCCAGGAGACGGGCAGGCCTCCAAGCCCACAGCAAGTCTTCACTCTGGGCTTCTCTGGCTTTTTTCTCCCCTTCTCTCTCCTGCCTCTCCTCCTGCTTCTGCTTCTCCTAGTGACTATCTCCAATACTCCTCCCAGTGCCCACAAAAGTAAACAACACAACAATGTAACAACTGCAGGTGCCCTATCAGGCAGGGCAATCCTAATGGTGGGAGGGCAGAAAAGCCTGATAACCATTTACCCTACACACCTGTGTTCTCTGATTTACCTTCCCAGTCCAGGAGGTAGCTGAATGAATGATGGATGCGGTTTCTGTCAGAGACTGAGCCATCTCAGAGGCAATGAAGTGCTCCAAATCCCCATCCCAGTGGAGGGGGGCTGTCAGGGAGATGGGGCTCCATGGAGCTCCCAGAAGTAGTCAATGGTTGGCATGAAAGCTGTTCACTGATAATTAACTTTGTTTAATTTACTATAAAGAAGCCAGTTAGAGATGAGGTGTTGTGTCCCGACCCGCGGGATTTGGAGGCACGAAAAGAGAAGGGCTGAGGATTGAAATGAGGGGCTTGACAACTTGACGCTAGCGTTTGCTTCTTTATTTTTCCTTTATCCTTTTCCTACTTTTACATGTTTTCCTTTTCCCTGTCTTTCTTACTTCCCTGGCCTTCTCTCTGCTCCTCTCGCAGTACCCCTCGCCATATCTCCTTCTCACAGTCTCCTCGCAGTCTCTCTCTCTCTCTCGTGGTTCCCTTCTTATACCCTGGTCGCTCCTCCCATCGTACCTCTCAGTCTCGCGTGATTTACAGGAGAACACAGGGGTTTCTCCGAAGGCGAAACAGTAGATCGAAACCTAATTCATCGAGCACATGTGCAACACGGCGCATGCTGCAGGTGGCTCCGAACATCTCCCCCTTTTTTCTTTTAAATGAGACACCTGGCCTGTCTTAAGTTGGCGCATCCCATATCCAGCCTTACCCGTCATCGCTAATCCGGCACACTTGGTCCGGACCGCTGTCTTAGGTTGGTCTGGACGGGCTACGCTCTTACCCATCTTTGGCTTTCAGGTTCTCTAGGGCTAAGTTGACCCATCCGGATGCCACTGGGGAGTCCTGGTCAAGTACCATGGCGCCAAGTACTTGCCTGACCGCCATAGCACAATAGCTCTTTGTTTTGCCTCCGTAGCCGACGGAGAAACCATACACTGAAGGCACAAACAGCCAAGAGCTAGGGCTACCACCCTGCCCCAAGCTTGCAACTCTGGGAGGAGTCCTTTAAGCCAGGCAATGAGACCCTCACCCGTAACAGGGGTAACACAAATAAAACTGTACAGAGGGTTACAAGGTATGTGAGCAATTAACAAAAGTGTGTCTATCCCTTTTTACATTAGAGGTGTCCGCTGACCAAGCACAAAAGTCCATTCTGCAAATGTCCATTCATATATTACTGTGTTGACAACGCAGAAGCAACACTGGCAGCTAAATTGTCCATAGTGTCCGTATTTACAGCAGCTTGAGTGACAGCAACGGCGGCAGTAGCCGCAGCCACCGCTATTGAAATGGCAACAATAGCTGCAGTGATGCTAAAATCACGTCTCCTCCTAGGTAGAACAGGGGAAAGGTGTGCAGAAACATCCACGGGCATGACTAAAATAGAAGGTAGACGAATGATCACCGCCCTCTCCACACTCCGGGCCCAGCAGGCAGAGAGGGCGCAGGTCTCCGCTGAACAGTTCAACACAGTGGCATTTCCTGCATTATTGGGGAGGACAAAAAAGAAAGGAGGGGACAGACAGACAGCAGTAGACATACTCTATAATCTATTATTCTGAATACTAACAGATTATTCAATGGTAGAACTAATGTTTGCAGAATAAATGCCATTAAATAATTTCACCTCACCCTGGCCCAACAGGGCACTATCCAATGGCTTGGAAGCTAGACCAATATTAAGATTAATGGCAAATACTTGCGGAAAAGTGGAATCATGACGATCAATGAGGAGCAAAAAAGGCAGCTGATGCACAATTGCCCATCGTACTAACATCTGGGACGCTTGTGTCATCAAGGTTAGCAGGGTCAGGTATATTGACAAACCGAACCAATCGAGCAGGAACCCATCGGGGTGCTTCTGCATCCTGTGGGAAAAGACAAATGCTGCCTGGCAGCTGTATTAATACTGGCGCGGGTGGTTGCCACTCATTATTGACCTGATCCTTCCATCTCGCTTGCAGCATCGTGACCTGCCAAGGGTCTGGCGACCAGTGCCGATCAGCAGCTGACCGCCCCTGGGTACCTAGAGTCAAAAAATCAAGGGTAAAGAGAGCTGTAGTCAAATGGTCCCTGGGGGAGTGTTCTCCCCCTGTTTGTTTTAAAAGCATAGTTTTCAGAGAACCATGGGCACGTTCAACTATACCCTGCCCCTGCGGGTTGTATGGAATTCCCGTTTTGTGCACAATGCGATGGACCGCACAAAAGGAGGCAAAAGCCTTACTGGTATAACCAGGACCGTTATCTGTCTTAATGACACGTGGGCGGCCCATTACCACAAACGCTTGTAGCAAATGTGAGCGGACATCAGAAGTCTTTTCACCGCAATGTGGGGAGGCAAAAAGAAAACCAGAGAATGTGTCAATGGAGACATGGACCAGGCTCTGTCGTCCAAAAGAGGGTACATGAGTCACATCGGTTTACCAAATATGGTTAGGGAGGATGCCCCGGGGGTTAACTTCTGGGGGAGTCATCAGTGTTACCTAGTATTCTGCCAGCTGCAGTCATCAATCTTGCTAGGAACTCCGCATAAGGTTCTGTTGACCCTTGAATGACCTTTGTTAATTGAATGTCGGCTCCTCCTCTATCTCCTATTGCCTTCCAGGCTGACCATCCAGCTGCTGCAAATTGGGCAAATACAGCCGGATCGTAATCCTTTTGTTGGTCATTACTATCATATTGCCCTTCTCCTGCTAACATATCCTTGTTTCTAACTGGAAATCCAGCATCAGCATTGAGTTTAGCTGTATAGGTGCAGTTCTCTAAAAATATACCTTTCCATACCAAATAATCCCCTGGGGAAGTCACCGCTCTGACTAGCGCCTTCCAATCATTAGGAGTCGGATTCATGCCGATCCAGCTATCCAATAATGTATGCGTAAAAGCGCTCTGGAGGCCATACTGAGTAACTGCCTCCTTCAAAGCCTTCAAATCTTTAAAAGATGTGGAGACATGTACTCTAGTACGCACCCCCTGAGGATCTGTCCCTTCCACGACCGGATAAGCATAATTAGGGGCCTGGGAAGCCAGAACTCTTTCCATCATAGAGCACAGTCTTTCCATTAACGGAAGATCAACCCTGTCGAGTGTTCTAGGAGGTGGCTCCCCACATGTTTTCCATCTCCTTTTACGCTTCCCTGACTTATAACAACCGAGGCCTTTCTCATCCTGTTCCTCCTCTCCTCCCTACTCATCAGTAGAATCATCTGGAGAAGGGGCTATTGTTATTTTTTGAGAAGAGGAAGGGGGACTTACCGATGTAGAACTCTTAATGCAACTTCTATCTTCTTCCTCCGTTGTCTCGCTGTCCTGACGGCCTCAGTGGCTGAGTGGCAGCAGTGCCACCAGCATTAAGAGCATCTCCCACCACTCTCCAGACTGTCAAAGTAGTGCCAGGAAGAGATTCAAGGCCATATAATTGCTGATGCAAGACAATATCTCCTTTCACCTTATTCCAATTGTCACTATCGACCTGATCCTGCTTCAGAAACCATTTACTAGTGATACTAAGGGTCTCTACAAATCCTTTAAGAATTTTCTACTGAGAGGAACCCCAAACTCTTTTAGGAGAGCTTCCAGGGAAATAACTAACTGTCCCTTGGACATTGAATTGCCCATGATCCCAGCTACCTTTCCTTACTTTACTTGCCAGCTCACCACAGCTGGTCCTTCAGCGGTTCCTTCGTTCTTTTTCGTGCCCCACGCTGGGCGCCACCTGTCCCGACCCACGGGATTCGGAGGCACGAAAAGAGAAGGGCTGAGGATTGAAATGAGGGGCTTGAGACGACTTGACGCTAGCGTTTGCTTCTTTATTTTTCCTTTATCCTTTTCCTACTTTTACATGTTTTCCTTTTCCCTGTCTTTCTTACTTCCCTGGCCTTCTCTCTGCTCCTCTCGCAGTACCCCTCGCCATATCTCCTTCTCACAGTCTCCCCGCAGTCCTCTTCTCTCTCGCTCGTGGTTCCCTTCTTATACCCTGGTCGCTCCTCCCATCGTACCTCTCAGTCTCGCGTGATTTACAGGAGAACGCAGGGGTTTCTCCGAAGGCGAAACAGTAGATCGAAACCTAATTCATCGAGCACATGTGCAACACGGCGAATGCTCCAGGCGGCTCCGGACAGTGTTGGAATAGTTTCTTGGAGGATGATGCTCAGTCATTCTCAGATTAGCTGGCTGTAGGGTAATTTAAAATGTCAGGCTTTTCTGCCCTCCCGCCATCAGGATAGATGATGGATCCTTGCGGTCCTGAGTGCATGCCTGATGGTGGGCACCTGGAATAGGGTGTGGGCATAGGTAGATGGGATTCACCTGGGCTAAGACTGGGCTTTTAAGGGCGGCGTCACGGGACAACAATTGAAGCCGAAGCAGAAGCTGAGAGAGAAGCAAGAGCAGCAGAAGCCGAGAGAAGGCCAGAGAGCCCAGAGTGAAGACCTGCTAGGGGCTGGGAGGCCTGCCAGCCTACCGGCCCCCCAGCGCCCCTGACTGCCTTGTACCTTGTAATCCCAATAAAAACCTGCAAAACCACTAAGGGATCCAGGACTCCTCCTTACCCGGTCTGCTGGATCAGAAAACCTGCACTGTGGTCATTCCTGCCCTTACACTGGCAGATCTAATAAAAGTGCATATTAAAAATTCAATCCTTGTCCTTTGTTGTTTTGGGCTTTGTTGTCATATGGCAGGCCAAGAACCCAAAATTTCCCAGCAACAAAAGGGTGGGAGCCAAAGGATGAGGGGGTCCAGTGGCCTAGGGAAAAGGACTATGGGTGCTTTAATGGTGAGGGTGATGTGGTGACTTAAATCTGAGGAGTTGTGAACCTATTCCCTAAATTGCATACAGTCTTAAATCAACATTACTTCAACAAAGAAAAAAAAAATTTAAGGAAAAAAGTCTGTTCATAAATCACCAAGTCTGATATTTTTGTTACTCTGACCTGAATGGATTAAGGCAAAGTTGAAATGAATACAGAGGAATTTCCTGCAGCCTTTATTCTTTAAAGAAGCTTCAGAAACTATCACTATTACAGAGGATATGTATACTGTAAATTGTTTTCAGGCTTTTCTGCTTTCCCACCATTAGGATTTCCCTGCCTGATGGGGTACCTGTAGTTGTTACATTGTTGCAAGCTATCTTATTTACTTCTGTGGGCCATGGGAGGAGCATTGAGAAGCAGCAGCAGGAGACGAGGCAGGGGAGAGAAGGGGAGAGCGAGATGCCCAGAGTGAAGACTTGCATGGGGCTTGGAGACCTTTTGTCCTCCTGGCCCCCTGGCACCCCTGCCTGCTGTGTATACTGTTTGCCACACTACATTTAAAGCTCAATGAAAGCCTGTTAAACCCACGGAGGTCTCAGGACTCTCCTTTACCCCGTCTGCCGAATCATAGATATCCTGCACTGTGACTTTCTTACCTCTACAATATGTTACATATAGAAGATGCTAGAGACTCCATCAAAAGTTATTAGAAACAATAAATGAATACAACAAAGTGGCAGGTAAAAATCAACATACAAAAATATGTAGAAACTTTGAAATTTATATGGAAACACAAGAGAACTTGAATTGCAAAAACAGCCTTCCATATAGTGGGAAAAAAAAAAAAAAACCTGAGGAAAGAGGACAGATATGAATGCATCACATTACCTGATATAAATAAATCAGCAGTATTAAACACTTTGCAATACTGTCACAAAATGGTACATGGGTCAATGGAATGGAGTCAAAAGCCCAGAAATAAAACTACATACATACCAGCACACAATCTATGATAAAGCAACTATGACCATAAAATGGAGAAAAGACAATTTCTTTAATAAACGGAAAATAAAAAAATGGAAAAACACTAATAAGAGAAGGAAGTGAGATTTCTCACTAAATCATATGCAAATTCCAAATGGATTAAAGATTTAGATTAAAGGCCTGAATTAATAAAATACACAGAAAAAAACTGGTGATATGTTCCATGATATCAACAATAAAGACATTTTTGGTGACTCTACTTCTATGGCAAGGGAATTAAAAACAAAAATAATTGGGATTTTTTTTACACGATGTCTTATTTGCTTCCCCTGTATTCCTGCTATAAGTGAAACCATCTGATATTTTTCTTTTCCCTTCTGGCTTATTTCCCTCAGAATAATTCCTTCTAGTGCCATCCACGTTGCTGTGAATGGCATGAGTTTATCTTTTTTGATTGCTGAATAATACTCCACTGTGTATATATTCCACATCTACTTGATCCAGTCATCTATTTGGGGGCATTTGGGTGATACAAAACACAACAAAGCAAAAACAGACAATTATAAATCAGAGACATCCTGCAGGGGAAAAGGCGGGAGAGGGATCAGAGGGGGCAAGGGGGGAGCACAGGGGACTGAGGTGATGGTGCATGGGTACATTGGTGAAGGGAACTCTATGGGGACTATATCTGAGGGGGTGGGGGGAAGCAAATATTGTTTAAAAATGAACAATGATGTAAAAAATTAAAAAATGAATTTAAAAAATTCTAAAAAAATAAATAAAATATGGCTATATTAATAAAAATGGGATTACCTCATGTTGAAAAGCTTCTATACAGGGAAAAAATACAAAATACCCTACTGAATGAGAAAAAATATTTGTGCACTATATAACTAAAAAGAGATTAATATCTAAGACATATGAAAATACTAATACAATTTAACAAATATAAAAAGCAAGTAACCCAATAAATATATTGGCATCAGATATCAACAGGAAATTCAACCAAGGGGATATTCAAAATGCCAAATAACATATGAAAAATGTCCATCATCATTTATAATAGCAGATATGAAGATTAAAACTACAAAGAGATACAATCTCACACCCTCCTTTGTTTAAAAAAAGGTGTTGGAGAAGAAGTGGAGATGAAGGAACACTATTAATTTTGGTGTGAATGTGTACTGGTGCAACCATTTTGGAAAGCAATGCATTTAACTTGCAAAACTAAAAGTGGAATTACCTATGACCCATCCATCCCACTCTTGAACATATATTTGCAGAATAAGAAACCATCCAAAACAACAAAGCAAAACAAACAAAAAAATAGGTTCTTAAGTGTTCACAGCAGCACTACTTACAATAGCTGGGACTCAGAAATAGTCCAAATGTCCATAGGAAGATTCAATCAGAAAAGTGTGGCATAAGCACACTGTGGAGAGTTACATAAAAAAGGATGAAATGCAGCTACTTTCAACTAAATGGGAGAGGGGTTTGAGAGTTTTTTGTGTATCAAATTAAGTCAGAATGACTACAACAAATACTAATCATATATATACCTGACAATTCAATAAAGTAAAATTTCAAAAGCTGGTGCATATCAACCCAAAAAAATCCAAGTAGACATTTTTCTCAAGTGCGCGTGGATCATTCTCCAGAATTGATCACATACTGGGCAATAAGACAAACATAAAACAGATACAGGAAAATCAAAATCATTCCAACTATCTTCTCTGATCATAAAGGCATCAAGCTAGAAATAAATCATGAAAAGAAAACAAGGAACCCTCCCACTTCATGGAGATTGAAATCCACACTACTGGAAGACCACTGGACTAATGAGATCAAAGAAGAAATTAAAAAATACTTTGAGTTGAACAACAAGGAGGTCACCACTTTCCAGAATGTATGGGATGCAGCAAAAGCAGTAATAAAAGGAAAATATAGAGCAATACAGGCTTACAACAACAAACAAGAAGAGAACTCAAAGAAACAACCAAATCTCACATCTCAACTAGAAAAAGAACAACAAAAAAATCCTAAAGCCGGTAGGAGAAAGGAAATAATAAAAATCAAAGCAGAAATAAATGAATTAGAAATTAAAAAAACAATCCAAAAGATCAATGAAACCAAAAGTTTGTTCTTTGAAAAAAAAAAAAAAAATAGAAAAACCTCTAGCAAGGCTCACAAAGAAAAAATGGGAGAAAACATATAAATAGGATTATAAATGAAAGAGGAGAAATCACAACAGTTTCAGTAGAAATCAAAAGAATAATCAGAGATTTCTATGAACACTTATATGCAAACAAATTCAACAACCTAGAAGAGATGGACAAATTCCTAGAATGATATAATCATCCAAAGCTGGACAAAGAAGAAATAGAACAACTAAACAGACCAATTACAAGCAGCGAAACTGAAGCAGTAATCAGAGCACTCCCCAAAAAACAAAAACCCAGGCCTAGGCAGCTTCACAAATGAATTCTACCAAATGTTCAACAGTGAATTAGTGCCTATCCTACACAAACTCTTTCAAAAAATTGAAGAAGAAGGAATACTACCAAATACGTTCTACGAAGCCAACATTACACTAATACCAAAACCCAACAAAGACAGCACAAAAAAAGAAAATTACAGGCCAATCTCCCTAATGAACACTGATGCAAAAATCCTCAACAAGATCCTTGCCAACAGTATCCAACAATGCATCCATAAGATAATTCACCACGACCAAGTAGTATTTATTCCAGGGACACAAGGATGGTTCAACATCAGAAAATCAATCACCATAAATCAATTAATGTAATCCAACACATCAACAAAAAGAAATATAAAAACTATATGATAATGTCCATAGATGCTGAGAAACCATTTGGCAAAGTAAAACACCCATTTATGACAAAGGCCCTTGAAATACTTGGGATACAGGGAACATACCTCAACATCATAAAGGCCATATATGACAACCCCACAGCCAATATCATTCTCAATGGTGAAAAGCTGAAAGCATTTCCACTAAGATCTGAAACACAACAAGGATGTCCACTCTCACCACTGCTCTTCAATGTAATACTAAAGGTCCCAGCAAGGACAATAAGACAAAAGAAAGATGTACAAGGAATCCAGATAGGGAAAGAAGAAGTCAAACTATCACTATTTGCAGATGATATGATACTATACATAGAGAACCCCAAAAACTCCACAGAATAACTAATTCAACTAATCAGTTTAGTAAAGTGGCAGGATACAAAATCAACACACAAAAATCAGTAGCCTTCATATACATAAACAATAAATCTGAAGAAGAAGAAATCAAGAAAACCATTCCTTTTATTATTGAAACAAAAA